GAAGGCAAATTCATTGTAATTCATCTCGCATGAAATTATAAAGGAGCACAAAATAAGTATCACAACGTTTTTCTTGTCGTATTTTTTTTATAATTCCAGCATGCATAACAAGTAATATCTTAAAAGTCTTTGTGTGAAAATGTTGTAAAGCATATTTCTTTTAAAGAAATGATACATCTCTCTATTTTAACAAAAAAAAGTTACTGTATACCTTTATGATAAGATAAACGAGGAATATGGCGTTTTCTTTTATTTTCGTACTCTTGTGTCATGAATATTGACCTTTCTGTACTGGAAAAAGGAAAGTAAGCACTGACAAACATCTTAAAATAAAACTATTTTGCGAAAAACGAGTATTTTGTTTTGATTAGAAACAATTTAAACAGATTCATTTCTTTCCTTCTTGATTCCAATCATTCTGTTTCTCTCCCCCCATTTCCCCGTCAACAACCAACACCTATTAGAACCTAGGAATTACTTAATACAATTAAATTTACATGTTCTATATAAATCAATAAGCAAATAAAGGTACAAGTGCATTTCTTAACATTACCCTGATTAGAGCCGCTTTCTTCGCTGAATTTAATCCTAAATCTTTTTGCACTATCATCGAGGTATTTCTTCACAACTGAATTTCCTATAATTATCAAGCAAAGGTAGATAATTCTAATATTAACAAACTCTATAAATAAAAAAAAATTATTATTAATGATGAATAAATTTTCTTTTTGTAAATTGTGTAAGTTATTGATTAATGGAGTTTAATGAAGAGACTTACTTTTACAATTAAACAGAAACCAACTCCAATTACTAAAATGTAAAAGTCAGCTGTCAAATATAAAAGTAAGTCTCTTCATAAAACTCCATTAACAATGTTATTTAAGGAATCACTGTCTAGTTAGGAGAGTATGCCAGGACCAACAATAGTGGGAAACATGGGATAATGGGCTAAAATTATCCCATGTTTCCCACTATTGTTGATGTCCCTAGCATACTCTCCTAACTAGACAGTGATTCTTTATATTTCCATTTCATTGTGAAATAAAATTGTAGACTTAGACATTAAAAATGTAGACTGATTGATTTAAATTACACGAGGACATTCATGCCAATTTCAATAGTCTACGCACAATGACGTCAAACACAAATGCAGCCGCACGAGATTTACATGCATATTTGGCCTCCTTAACGTCAGACACAGAGACAGATGCGCACGAGATTTGCATACGTATTAGGCCTCCTTAGCTGCTGACCTATCAACCTGCCTAATTTACATTCCGGCAGAATTATCAAGAAATAAACTCCAACTTTCAAAGAGTTATCACAGAGAAAAAAATTAGAAATGGAAATATTCCTATATCACAGTTGCAAAAGTCAACAGGTAATCAAAGTACTGAAAGCACTCATGGGAGTTGAACATAGTGTAAAATAAAATCTTTGATCGGGAGGTTAACTGAGTGAACAATATTATTATTTCAAATACAGACAACAGTTTCAGATTTTTTTTGAGTTGCAACAATCTTGAGAAACACATTCAGAGACATTGAATAGCAAAAAAAAAGCATGGGCCATAATACATTAGTCTTTTTTTTTTTATACCCCCTGCTTGAAATGCGGGAGGGTATTTATTAATCGGGATTTTCGTCCATCTGTTTGTTACGCTTTAGGTATACCCATCTCTTATCCGCAACTCCTCTTACACCACTGAACGAAATTTTCGTAGAATATTTATTACATATTGCCGTTGTGCACCTTCTATTACTTTTTCATCCTACACATATTTTGGAGTTCCCATTGCAAAACATGGACACTGCCATTATATTCATATTAGAGGCGGTTGATCATTTATATAATCCACTGCTCACAGTCTTCAAATTTGTAATATATTTCTTGGCACCTTTACCAATGTGTTATGAAAATTTCAGTTTCGCAGGAATAATATCAATTTTGATAAAATGTGGATTTTCACATAGCATCCTTTTAAGAGCTAACAGGTTTGTTATGTAAAACTTCTCAGTGAATATAAATGTATCTCAATTACACGATCATTATACATGGAGTACGTCAGAACTTAATCTTTTTTAATATTGTAAAGAAAAAGGAAAAAGAATAAAGATAAAAACAAATATTTAATAACCAAACATAAAAACAGTGGTATATGTGAGAGTTTGTGTGCATACAAATTATCTGGTATGTAAATGAGGTTTTCCTTTTATTAAGAAAATATACTTTATATTATTATTTTTAATCGCGATTTTACGAAAACATCGGTGTCCCTTTTTTTGGTTTTAACATTTATAATAGAGTACTAGATTTACCGCTTTTGGCAGGTGATACTGCTGATTTAGTAATAAATACTCATGTTTCTTAAAGTTTTTATACATTATTATATTCATTTAATCCAGAAAATGTTCATAAAAAGTTTGAATAAATTCTGTGCACCGGTAAAAAAGAAATTGCTTAAAAATCCAGGACCGTAGAGCGTCGGGAAGACTAGATTTACCGCTTGCCGTCAGTATGTAGAGTTGTCGTTCGTATCTCTTTCAGCTAGCCTGTCTCATCCTTGGCAAGGAACGCGCGCGTAGAAAAGCAAAGGGACAGGGAACCAGGCTGCTCTTTCAGAGTATGACGCTACACTAAAAATGAGTTCCATTACGAAAAACTTTTAAGGTTCTTTATAATTTAGTTTTACTTTGAACGAAATCTAATATTCAATATAAGATTGCTTTATCAATACAATTACTTACATTTCAAATTATGACATGAACTATTTGTGGCGGATGTTTATGCATGTTTTCTGTTGAATATCATCGGAGTAAATCGGTCGACACAGTAGCTTCGCTTTCGGCTCTATATAGCCTGGTCCCCTGACTCACCCTTTCCAAGGCAGGAGACTGTAAAGGCCCTTAGATTTAAAGGAAAAATAAAATGTGCCTTTGGTAACAATATCATAATGTGGGAAATATTTTTATAGGAATTTATTGGAAGAAAAGAGAGACAACCATAAAGTCAAGATGTGGGGTTGGGGCAGCAGACCGTCATGTGTTGATTGCCCGACAATTGTTCCATTCAGTGTGTACTGGGGAGGTACAGCGGGGAAATACGTATATGAATGGTGGTATAAGGATGTATGGACATTAGATGCCAATAAAAATTACATTTGTCCAGAATGTTTGTACAAAAGGCAAAAGACTCTGAGAGAAAAAGAGAAACAAAAGCAAGAACAGCAAAGAGAGAAGGAAAGAGAACGGCAAAAACAAGAAGAGCAGAGGAAAAAAGAGGAATTGAAAAGACGAGAAGAAGAACAAAGAAAAGAGGACGAAAAAAAGAGACAGGAGGAAAAAGAACGTCAAAGACAAGAGGAAGCGCGAAGAAATAAAGAAATTGAAATACAGAAATTAAAGACTGACTTAGAGCAATTTACTAAAATGGCCAAAGAAATTGCAAAAAGATTTGAAATGGAAAAATCTTCCTTCAGAAACAAAAGTAAATATACTCAGACAAAAGAAGGAAACAACAAATCGAGGTGTACTGGATAGGTACCTTCATCCGATAGATATACTTCCTGGTGAAAAAAATGTGGAAGTGCATTTAAACAATAAGGTAGATCACCATGTCAGCAAGGCAACAAATGACATTTTAAACCAAACAAAACAAAGTTCAATACCTACATGTTGTAATAATGATGAATTATTAGTGCAATGTGAAACACAGGCCCTTGAGATTTGTGAAAAAACTGTTGAAGATTTGATATCAGAAGTTGAAAAGGATGGAAAAATAGATAAAAACGAGTGTAGAGACATTGAAAGCTTTCTAAAGAAAGTGAATGAAATGAAGGATCAGATTGATTTGAAAAAATGTAAACCATGTCTAGAGAAACTTGACAAGTTGAAAGCCAATCAAAATGACTCTTTAGAATACATTTTTGAAATATGCAAAGGGATTCAACATTTCAGTAAATTCTGGCCAAGGCAAACTCAGTTAATATCGTTATATTGCCTTGTTAATTCTTTAAATAAAAGTTCTGGGAAACTTTTGCAGGTTGATACAGGAGAGGGAAAGTGGTCTATAGTTGCGATGTTTGCAGTATATAATACACTCAGGGGAAAAGTTGTTGATATTATATCCAGTTCACCCGTGCTTGCTAAAAGAGATTGCTATGATTGGGCTAGGTTTTACGAACTCTTTCAAATTAAAGTATCCTGTAACTTAGATCCAGAGGAAAATAAAGATCGCCTTGCGTGTTATTCCAAGTCGAAAATTATTTATGGAACAGTGGGGTCCTTTGCATCAGATATATTGAGGCACGAATTTCTCCGGGAAGATGTACGTGGAGACAGACAATTTAACGTCGTCATTGTAGATGAGGTTGATTGTATGCTTTTAGATCAAGGCATTCAGTTAACATATTTGTCACATTCAGTGCCTGGAATTCATCATTTGGAGCCTGTGTTATTGATTATATGGACTGAAATAGAATTTCTTACGCATATGATTTTTGAGGAAAAGAATACATGCTATGTGGGAAAACCCAACTTTTTTTATTCTTATGTCAAAACATTTGCAAATTCTGAAGACGAGTATAATTCTATTGTAAATGAATTTAATAAAGAAGGATTAATTACTTTACAAAATCATACATTTGGAGAAAAATGTAATGCAGAATCTGAAAACAAATTCTCAGACCTTGATATTCAGAAACTAGTGGATTGTCTTAATCACCTATCCAGCGTATTGGGCATATCCTTCTCAATGTATGAACTCAAAAGTGAATTCCATATTGACTTATTTTCAGAAAAGGATGATGGAATTCCGGTCTTAGTTTTAGGAAATGGTATGGTCAGTGAAATCTATAAAAATTTCGAGGATCTGAAAGACTTAGTTACCAAAAAAGTTGAACATAATATCAATAAAATAAATCATGAAGTTCCATCACATCTTTCCAGCTTCGTGGGAAAAATGTTACCTCTCTGGGTAGACAAGGCATTTGAGGCTTCCAAATGACAGCTGGAAGACAATATCTCATAAAAAATGACAACATTATTCCTATTGATTACGAATCTACAGGTGTTATAGAGCTGAGCACAAAGTGGAGCGATGGACTACATCAATTCTTAGAAATGAAACATGGTCTAAAAATAAGTCCCTTGAGTATAATTACAAATTTTATGTCAAATCAAGCTTTTTTCGAACGATACCAAAATAATATATTCGGTTTGTCAGGAACACTAGGGGATCATCAGGAAAATGAATTCCTTCAAGATACGTATGGCTTGTCTTGCATGAAAATACCACCCTTTCGAAGGAAACAATTTCAGGAAGAAGCAGGAATACTTTGTGAAAGTAAAGAAGTATGGATTTCGACAATAGTTGAGGCTGTAAAACAATATACAGAAAGCGGAAGGACTGTTTTAGTTATTTGTGAAGATATCAACACGGTTGAACAACTATCAGAATACATGAAAACAAACAAATTGAACAATATTATAGAATATACAAGAAATGACGAAGTTAATAGAGATATGGCAAAAAAAGAATTCGGAAAGGATGATATCATAGTTGCAACAAATATTGCTGGTCGTGGAACAGACATTTGTGTTAATGAATCAGTTGTGAAGGCAGGAGGGTTATTTGTTGTGGTTACATTTTTACCATCAAATGTTCGAGTTGAAAAACAAGTTTTTGGGCGCAGTGCCCGTAAAGGACAACCGGGATCCGCTTGTCTTATTCTGAATAAATCTGACTTAAATGAAGACTTTGTTAAGCATAACAGTGTAGACCAAATTAAGGAAATCCGAAATAATATTGAAAGAGAACGGATAAAAGAAATTCAGAAGACGTTGAAGGAAACTGTAAAAGTAAAGGAAAATCTGTTTCAAAAATATTGCACTTTCCTTGAAAATCATAAATTCGATGGTGATAAGAATAGTAAAAGCAAACTTAAACTTGAGTCTCTACACGAGTTTTGGGGTTTCTGGCTAAAAGAAGAGTACCAGTTTTCAAAGCAATGATTCTACAACATCATTGATGAATAATCTGCAAAGTAGCCTAGAGAAGAAAGAGAAACAAGTCCAAGAGGACTTATCACCCACAAATAATGTGTCCCATCTTGTTAAATTAGCTAATATAGATATAGATGATGAAAACTACACTCTTGGCAAGGATTTGCTTTCTAAAGCCATAAACATGGATCCTGGAAGAGCTTTAATAGCGTACTACAATCGTGCGTATTGCTACATCATGCTTGAAAATTTTACTTCTGCTATCGGCGACCTTACAAAATGTTTAGCAACTATCGATACTTTTAAACAAGATGCAGAAATGTGTATTCATCTTCTCAGCCTTCTCTCCAAGAAATCGACAAAGAATTTAGCCATTGCTCAGATGGAAGTGCGATTGCAAATATTTAATCACTGTGCAAAAAATATTTCAACAACAAAAGAAAAATTAGAGGAGTTACACAAAAGAAATGAAAAAGCCTACGTACTCTTAGATAATCTTTTTTCAATTTCTCTTGGAGAAGAGTCTGTTTGCAAAAAAGTAGACAGTGAATTATATTTATTTTGGGAAATGGGGTTAACCAGCATTATTTGTATTGACAAGAAATGGCAATTTGAAACTGAAGATTGTTTGGTGGTCATGACTGGTGTTATGCAGGTTGCAGTTGGCACAATAATATCTGCATCCTCAGGAGGAACTATTGGTCCTGGTATTATAGGTGAAGGGATAAACGATATATGCAGTGTAGCATATGGATGCATTAATAATGAGCGCCAAGATCGAAAGCAATGGATTAAAGAAAAAGGAGTTAAATTACTTTGTTCAATAGCATGTACTGGATTTAATCAGGTCCAAAAAGCCTGGAAAGGAGCAAAAAGCGTTGGTGGCGTTGTCAAAAACCTGACATTGCAAGGAAGTCAGTGTTGGAGTAGTTTATCGTCTGGGATATTTAAACTAACTTGCAGCAAAGTTAAGGAAGAAATAACCTCAGCGTTGAAAGAAAAGTGTTCAAAGTACGTTTTTGACAGTTTAAGGGCAGAAATGAAGGCACATTTTAAAGATGAGACGAAACAAAAGCTAAAAATAGTAGTTAAGAAGAAAGTAAAAAATAAGAAAGGCAATGAAATATACAAAGAATTTATATCTTTACAAAAATCCAAGAATGCAACTGTTCATCAGATTGTAGAGAATTACAAAAACGTGACGGAGACTCTTTTTAAAACTGACTCAATTATCCATTTACGTCAGTTACTTGTCGGCTGTTTGAAAGATATAGTGAATATGGCACAGAAAAAGTGTAGTAAAACTCAGTATGAATGTGCTTCGTTTTCTTTGATTGTTTTAAAGGTGCTCAGTTTGCGTCGTGCAATTTAGATAAACTACTTGAGAAGTATTTAGAAATTGTTGATCCGGTTCTCGAAGAAACATGTAAACCCTTCAGAAAGGAGGCAAAAACAATAGGAGAAACTGATGAAGATTTTATTTTAGAAGTTCTTGAAAGGATTTCAGACTACATTATAGAACACCTCCTTGATCTTTTACAAAAGTCATTTGATTGCACAGCCTCTGAGATCACTAAACAAAAATTAGAAAAGGAAATGGACAGTATCGTGAGCTCGCTTGGGCTTCAATGCGGAATTGGTAGAGAAACATTAAAAAAGTACTTAACTCTGTCTAGATCCATTACAAGAATATCAGGTGATGTATTATTTGGGAATATATCTGTAAAGGACGGTCTTCAAAGAACAGCCGTAGAGTTAGTACACGTTGGAATTGAGCATATTCCAAACCAAAAAACAAAAGAGTTATTTGTATTTGCCTTGAATCGTCTTAAAGAACTGGAGGAAAAACCATCAAGTAAAATATCAATGGAAAATATCTTTTTGGATTGTTTAGAAATGTGTGACGACAGAGTAAAAAACATTGGGAAGTGTTTACTCAATTGCAAGGATATGTATGCGAATCATGCGGATGATTTCGGGATGGCATGTATTGAACTGACCATTCAGTTGGTAAAAATATTCGGATACAAAACTGATATGTTAAGTAATATAAAATTACTCTTTGAATGTTTTCAATCGAAAAAAGAAAGATATATCCAATTACTGACTGGAATTAAGATTGTGCTAAGATATGCAAGAGAAAGCACTGATCTTAACAAAGGCACAGAAAGAGTTCTGGACAGTGCTATTACCTGTTGTGATTTAATTCAAGGACATGGAGATTTAAAAAGAAGCTCATATCTTCTCTATATTAATCTTATTGTACATTTAACGAATAACTTCGCTGATGAAACATGCAAACAAATTGGAATTGTAATCAGTGAATTTGCAAATGAGGTATCCGAAGGAACACGAAACAACCCTCAAAATATTGTTTTAGGAGTACTTCATAAAATGGAAGACATTTTTCGAGATCACGAGGGATTTTGTGTTTTGCTTACTTTTGGAAGTAACTGCTTGAAATTTTATAGCAAGGAAATTAACATTCACAGCTTTATAAGCACTATTGTAGAAGCATTACATTTTTTTCGTGCCAGATGAACAAAAATGGTTTCTTGAAATAATAAATCAATCAAAAGAAATTTATGTCAGTGTAAATAGTGCGAGGGATAAAGGAATTGAAATAACACGAGTAAGCAAAGCAATTTTGAAATGTTTAAAAATGCTTCCAGTTAGATGTAATGGACAAGCCATGGAATCAATTTCTCAGTATGCTGAAATATGTTTGATGATTTTAGAAGGTGAACCAATGACAGAAATCAGTAGAAAATATTTCGATCTGCTCGATAGAATCTTCACAAAGGCAAAGTCATCATCGTTCCGGAATTTATGGTCGTCTGTTTTTATGATCGTTAAAAAACACATGGAAGATTATCAGAGCAATACTAGCTTCGATATATGTAATCCGGCGTGTTTGCTTTACGAACAAATTATAAGGGGACTCTCGGTTTGTGACACAGACGTTGAAAATCTGATTGTAAAAATGGGAAGTAAGATTCTCCGTGGATTCCTAAAGAATGAGAAAGACGATGCATTAATTGAGATTCTCGACGTTTTCAATGAATTTGTGAATAAAAAAATGAGCAAAGAAATAAGTTCCATCCTGAGTTTTGTTTTACAAGCCTTCAAAATGTGTATTTCTCATGATTCATCGTCTTCAAAGTGGCAGAGTATTGAAAAACATTTATATGCAGTGTTACAACAAGTAACGGAATTGCCCACTAACACTTCCGAGAAAATGAATAATGCTGGCAAAGCTGTTCTGAAACTTGTTCAAGGGATACGCAATTCCATGTCATACAAACAAACAATCACCCTTATATTAAGTGTAATAAAGGAATTCGTCGCATTAAATAAATCAAACAGATTTACTTACTCTATTCTGGAGTTCTTATCGATGTGTGTAAGCTTGAGTGTCGAAGAAACAGGCGTAACAATATACGTCGGGTTTCTGGAATCAACAGAAAAGGTTTTAGATACTATTGGCGTTTTAAAAACAACAGATAAAAAGGAAATATGGATATTAATCAAAAATATGTTGAAAGATTGTTGCAGTGAAAAGAAAGACATTCACAGTTTTATAACTTGCACACATCATGGGATACAATTGCTAATTCAAGAATATTGTAAAAGAAATGAACACTGTAAATTAGGAGCAATTTTATACAAGGTGATATCTTCTGAATCATTTAAAAATGTTTTACAGGAAAGAAACGAAATGGAAGTAAAAGGTGTGTTAATTCTATGTTTTGAATGCGTAGTCTCTGAATTATGCACTGAATCAAATAGGCTTAGGGAGGTCGGAGAAATTATCTCTAAGGTGATCTCTCAGGATGAAAAAGGGAGGTACGAAGCAAGCATGAGTAAAAAGATACTACATGAGTGTGAAGAGAAATTCAAGGATCATATATGGAAAAACGTAATCAAGCAGTGTACGAAGTTTTGCGATACTGTTAGTGTTGAGGGCGCAACAAAAGAGGAGTTTTGCTTAAGTTTGTTAAACGTAATAAATGCACTCTTGAAGGGCTACGGTGAAAATAAGAATAACGTATTGACAAAACTATGCGAGTTCTGTATGGGGTTTTTTGGTCAGTTTAAACCTGTAGATGTATTAGATGGACTAATCGATGTATTTCACACACTTATACCTCGAGAATATTCATTATTTACAGACTGTTGTAAAGCGTGCGCTAGTGTGCTAAGAGAAGGAAGAATTGAAGTCATTCTGTTTAATGCATTAAAAACTATCGTTTCTACTCTTGAGAGATCGACCTCAAATTCTGCTTTTATACAGAAGAAGCAATTGAATACACTCTCATATTTACTTTCTTTTTGCGATCCTCATAATTCTGAAAATTTCTCCATTCAAGGTTTGTTGTCTGAAATAGAAAAACTTGTACGCAACTATGACAACGAAGATATTTTTAGTTAATGTTGTTCGGGATATGAAGAATGGTCATGATACAAAAACAATACTGTGTGTCTTAAAAAGGCTTCTTAAATTTTTACCTGGTTATACGGAGAGTAAGAGTGAATTTTTGGTCGGATGTATTGAAATTCTTTTGAACTTTAAGATGAAGAAATATCCGCGCAGAAGAATATACATAAGGCAGTGAATTTGCTGAAAAAGCAAAGTGCTTCTGTGACAAGGACAGTAAAGATCTTTTGTATATCTCCTTGTTGCTCAAATTTGGACGATATATGCATAATCTATACGGACAACCAGGTGATTTTGTGGTTCAAACCGGCAAATTGTTTTTTGACATTCTTGAACTATTCAAAGAATTGTTGAATTCGACCATTGTAGATTTTCTAGTAAAGATATCAACGCCGTCTGTGCAAATCCTCAAGCAATTACATGACTTTAATACAGAAGCATTTGGATATGTAATGGAGATTATTGAGTGCATTTTGCCACAATTTCGGCAACGAAAGATGGAAGGAAATCGGAAAAATTATGAAAAAGTGTTGGCAATCATTTTCAAGTAAACTGAAAGAAAAGTCCTTTG